TATGCAAGGTCACCCGGTGTTGCAAATAAGGTTGTTGTGACGAAAATACACTTCCTGGGTATAAGTATATGAATGAACTGACCAAAGGTTACCGGATACGCATACGTGACGAGCGGCCAGTCATTGTCCAGTCATTCACATACTGCTTATTACCACATATATGCATATACATGCCTTAGGAATAGGTAGCAACTGATCACAACACACGCACAATGTTCAATGAATTTACACTGGTTTATACGCAGCAGAGCGTTGATAGTTGATGAGCAAAACATTTGCTCATATGGAGAGAGAAGAACTAGACGCTTGTGTAAACACCGGGAAATTAAATGATTACACTTTTGAATGGTTTACTCGTGCACAGATATAGATCACAAAAATAGTTGATAACAAATGTCGATAAACCAGTCCATCGGGAGGAAATCGATGCGGATAGGTTTTCAGATGTACGACTACAAATCGGACTGCTGGTGACCCCAAATGCTTATTCCTAGCTGATAGTCAAAACCAAGTTCAGTGCTACAGCAAAGTCTCGCATTGATCGAGATAGAACCATCAAGTTGATCACAAATCCACAGAGCAATGATCATGGGAATATCCCCCGTATGATGTGATCGATAGATAAGCAAACTCTACCGACAGAAATCTCACCACTAAGACAGCGAATGCAGGTTCGAAGAAAAATGAGGCGATCACGGGAGCAAAAATTTTTGCTTCCTTCACTCTTGGAGAACAAGTTAGGATCCTATGGTTGGAGCCAACGCGAAAACTTCAAACGAAAAAACGTAATAGGTTCGCGTGCTCCAAAAACTACCTGCGGACGTACGAAAAACAAACAAACAAGCAAACAATAGAGACCACGTAAGAAATGATAAGGAGAAAGAAAACTACAGCAATCCGGATAGTTTTCCTCATGAGCATCATTTGGACATGAATGGCAACGAATGAACGGAAAACGTAACAGACTGTGCAAAGCTCTCCTCGTCATCATGAACACGCAGTGGGAACCATTACAGTGAGAAAATCCCCATCGTGTTCAATCGGAAACTANTTATTATGTCTGTCTCTTTTCATTAACCATTTCTCACATTGGTTACACAGTTTCAACAAAATGATTTGCGCAGGGTACTTATCCAGATAAACTAGACTTGATGGTTTACGACCACGTTAACACGTCCCTTTCTGACATTTCTATTTTGACCTGTATGCTCACGTGACCCCGAGCATTGGTTATACTGTATGATTATCAAATGATTGCTACTTTTGTATCTCATTGGGAAAAGCCACTGATTCCCTTTAGAACTGAATATTTACCCCTCTTTTCGCAAATTAATTCTGCAAAATTCCAACACGATTGATAGATAAATATTGCTAAATACCTTCTCTTCGAGTGGCGTACAACTTTCAACGATTGAACTCTTAGTCGACTATTTTTCCAACCGTTAGCAGTTCACACGCTACAAAGGTTGTACATCTTCACTGCTACCCTGCCTCACAAGGTGTACTGTAAGGCGCTATTTGATCCTATTTTTCAATTGTTCGCTTACATTTCCTTTATGCCTGAGAGCAATTCTTCTCTTCTTGTTAAGCATGCAGGTAATATTCGGACTGCCCTATCCCAACCCATCATTTCAAACTACTCTACAAGAAGACATGTTAGAATTAGTGAAGTGGTCTCAACAAAGGAATCTTCGTATGAATCCCGAAAAATGTAGCGATATAATTTTTCCCTTTTGAAAGGGCAAAAGTGTGATGAATTATTAAATTCCTGCCCGCCTTTATCTATTTTCGGTGAACATATAGATCGACAACCGTCTACCAAATACCTTAACGTTATTTTCAACCGCAATCTCACCTAGTCTGACCACATGAATGACCTTTTTCTAGAGGTTAGGAGGCTCACGTTCCTGTGTTGCACTTCTTAAATCACTTTCTTTTTTTGCTTGCGTTTTGCTCCACTGGCTTCATGGGTCCCCTGTTATCTTCTCCGATCTTTTATTACCTAAGACGTCAAACTCATTTTCTGATCCGTCAAGTTTCTATCGGCGTATAGTCTTAGACCACGGGAACATCTGGTTCCGCATGTGGTGGTATACGACC